TTGGGGCAGAGCGCTAGAATTACGCCACCGAAGAAGCCCACGTACTTATATTACGGCTGGGTTGATGATAGCTGAAGTGAAGCATGTGAGAATGATGCTGGTGGCCGTTGCCCCGCCGATGCACTTGGTGACGCCAGTCAAGAGGAGAGAGGAGACCGACGCGGATAGCGACCGCACCCCCAGCGCACCCTGTGGCGTCGAGAAAACGCAACGCTTGCCACGCTTTGCGAGGCCGCAACGGATAGCGACCGCACCCCCAGCGCACCCCGTGTGGCATCGAGAAAAAGCCACGCCCGCCACGCGCTGCGAGGCCGAAACGGATAGCGACCTCACCCCCAGCGCACCCCCATTGTAGCGTCGAGAAAGTGCCACGCCTGCAACGCTTCGCGAGGCCGAAACGGATAGCGACTGCACCCCCAGCGCACACCCTGTGGCATCGAGAAAGTGCCACGCTTGCCACGCGTTGCGAGGCCGAAACGGATAGCGACCGCACCCCCAGCGCACCCCCTTGTGGGGCCGAGGAAATGTCACGCCTGCCACGCTTTGCGAGGCCGAAACGGATAGCGACCGCACCCCCAGCGCACCCCCTTTGTAGCGTCGAGGAAGAGCCACGCCTGCCACGCGTTGCGAGGCCGCAACGGATAGCGACCTCACCCCCAGCGCACCCCTTTTGTGGCATCAAGGAAGTGTCACGCCTGCAACACGTTGCAAACCCGAAACGCATAGCGACCGCACCCCCGGCGCACCCCTTGTGGCGTCAAGGGAGTGCCACGCCTGACACGCTTTGCAAAGCCGAAACGGGTAACGACCGCAACCCCCAGCGCACCCCCTGTTGCGCCGAGAAAGTGCAACGCCTGCCACGCGTTGCGAGCCCGAAACGCATAGCGACTGCACCCCCAGCGCACCCCCTGCGGCGCCGAGGAAGTGCAACGCATGCAGCGCTCTGCGAGGCCGAAACGGATAACGACCGCACCCCCAGTGCACCACCTGTGGCGTCAAGAAAATGCCACGTCTGCCACGTTTTGCGGGGCCGAAACGGATAGCGACCGCACCCCCAGCGCACCCCCTTGTGGCGTCGAGGAAGTGTCACGCCTGCCACGCTTCGCGAGGCCGCAACGGATAGCGACCGCACCCCCAGCGCACACCCTGTGGCGCCGAGAAAGGGACACGCCTGCAACACGGTGCGAGCCCGAAATGCATAGCGACTGCACCCCCAGCCCAACCCCTGTGGCGTCGAGGAAGTGCCACGCCTGCACAGCTTCGCGAGGCCGAAACGGATAGCGACCGCACCACCAGCGCACCCCCTTGTGGCGTCGAGGAAGAACCACGCCTGCCACGCGTTGCGAGGCCGAAACGGATAGCGACCGCACCCCCAGCGCACCCCCTTGTGGCGTCGACGAAATGTCACGCCTGCTACACTTCGAGAGGCCGAAACGGATAGCGACCGCACCCCCAGCGCAACCCCTGCGGCGTCAAGAAAATGCCACGCCTGCCACGCGTCGCGAGGCCGAAACAGCGACCGCACCCCCTGCGCACCCCTTTGTAGCATCGAGAAGAGGCACGCTGTGAGATGTGTGTGTGTGTGTGTCAGGCTTTACGTGGACGTGTGTCTCATGGGCGTGCCCATCATGTGCCTCCAGAGAGAGGAAGAGGAGGAGGGGAGGTGTGAGGGAGACGCGGGTGCGACGCGGCAGTGATGAAAACCAGAACCCCACGAAACGTGTGGGAAAAACAGCGCGTGTTCTGCCATCCTGGGCCCCTATTGGGGCCGTCTGGGTGTCCTATTTGGCGGTCTTGGAGGCCTCTTGGTCCACATTGGGACTCTCTTGGGCTGTTTTGGGGCCGTCGTGGGGCGCCTTGAGTCGTCTTAGGGCGACCATGAAGGCCTCATGTGCCGTCGTGGAGCGTCGGGAGGCGGGCAGAAACGCTGAAATCATATAAACACAAAAGAAAAATCATGGATTCTGGCCTCTCGGGGCCCTCTTGGGTATCCTAGTGGGTTACTTTGCGACGCCAGGGCAGCTATCCTGGACCATCGTGGGCGCTCTGGTGCCATCTCGGACGCAATCGGGGCTAGCTTGTGCGCGTCTTGGGTCCACCTTAGACTGTCTGGAGGCCTTCCCCTGGTGTCTTAGGGAGCATCCTGGAAGCGAAACTCGGGGGTATCAAAAATAGCGGCCGATGTTCCAAAGGTGGCGGGCCCTGGGATCGCGGCCCAGCTATTCATACAAATTATGTGTATGTATATATATATATGTGCATATATATATATATATATATATATATGTGTGTGTGTACGTGCATCCCGTCCCGGACGAGAGATCCGATGTGACGTGGTGCGCGCCTCGTTGTCCAGCAGGAAACACTCGTCCGCGTTCTCCACCAGCTGGTGGAAAGACAAGACTGCGTTGTACGGCTCCACGACGGTGTCACTGACTTTCGGACTGGGGATGACTCGCCAGCCTCGCGGGCCAACGGCGTGTTAGATCTTGGCCGAACGATGCAAGCATGCATGTAGCATGTAAATGTAAGCTTAAGTACTTACAAGTGGCCCAGGCTGGCACAACGCTGGTGTCAACAACGTGTGAAGGAGGGGAAAGGACAGGAGGAATGAAAAAGAAATGAGGAGGACGAGGACGAGGACGAGGGCCAGGAGAACAGGAGGCAGCTATGAAGGTAACCGCAGGAGGATGGACGGAGGGGCTGGTCTAAAGTCACGCAAGCAAGCATCCCCGTACTCATGTGCGAAGTAGGTGAGAAAAGAACTGGTCGCTTTGGTACGCTAAGTGAAAAGCTGAAATACAGGTGTGTTTTCCTGAACTGCAAGTGCAAAACATGGTATAGACACTATCTCTGGTTGTGATACGCTACATGAACTTGTTGGTAGCATCGCCATCTGAGTGAAGAGTGCATCGTAATTCTGGATGCGGGAGAGATATTCTACGGCAACAACAGCTTCCAAAACAAACCAGCTTCACCAATTGTGGCCTCTGAGCTCTACTCCCTCAGAGAAGTGCGTCTATGAAGATGTAGATGTACATACCTCTCTGAAAAAGGTGCCAGATGAATGAAGAAGAAAGGTTGACATCTTTGATTCGGCGAACCCACCCCCGAAAAAAGAATGCGAGAGGAAACCCACTCGACTGTCGAAGCAGGAGAGGGCTTACCGAAAGGTCTCCCAAATCATTGACCAACCCGTGCGCGGTGCCAAAGAAATGCAGAGCCCCCCCCAGCCATGCTCACTACATCCAACCATTATTGGAAACGATCGGGGTGGCCTGGCTCCAGGGAGGGGGGCGGGGGGGGCGGGGGGGGGGGGGAAACGTCGACCTGGAATCGGCGATACCTCGCGGATAACTCGGCGTTAGGCCTCCGATAATCCATTCGCACGCTCCAGAGCAAGGAGGGGCTATCGGGCGCCCATCGGTGATGAGTGGGCGATTGTGGGTGGCGCGCACAAGGGGGACTCGGGTTGGCCTGACGATGCCATCATGAAAATGATGATGGCCCCGTCCAAAATTTAACGTCAACTCCCGCTGCAGACATCCCACGAGGACTGGACCGTCAAGACTCAGGGCGGGCGCGGCAAAGAGCGTAGGCAAACCCGAGTTCTGGCGAATGCACAAGGCTCGACCAAAACAGTGTTTCCCGTTTCTGTTTTGTTTCCGTTCTCCCCTCGTGCTGTCTTCGCTCCACCCTTGCTGCAGAACAGAGTCAGAACAAAAACGGTCCACGACATCGCCAAATCACCCTTTGTCGGGGGCGCGAAAACATGGATTAGCGATCCATGGATTTGGCGCGCGGTCGCCAAATCCATGGATCGGGGGAGGTGCCCTCCCCAAATGCGGCCGGTGCCGCCTCGCTCGGCGGCGGGACTCCGACTTACAATGGAAACGGGACCCGTCGCTAATCCACGCCCCCTTAATCCATGTTTGCGATCGCCTGAATTCGGGCCGACCCCAGGCGTCTTGCGCCTCCCCGGCACGGGCCCCCCTCCCCCCCGGGACGCTACCCCGACAGCCGTGCGCCCCGACAGCCCCAGCAGGCTAACGAAAACGGCCCACGAAATCGCCAAAACACCGTTCGGGCCGACCCCTTCGGGGATCTCCTGACCCGGGTCAACCCAGACCCGGGTCAGCAGGAAACCAAAAAACTGCAATGCAGGAAAAAAAAAAAAAACAAAAAAAAAAAAAATGCAACGCAGGGCTTCGCAAGCCCCGGTCAGCCAATATGCGCGGCCGCCCCGCGGCCACGAGCGGCTCGCTAACCCGGGTCAGCCAGAAGGGGTCTTCGCAGGATCCTGCAGGACCTGGTGCCCTGGCCGACCCCCGCTTGCCTCGACCCCCGTCACCTGGAGCCCCGACCCCCGGGGAGCCCTGCGCTTCCCCCGGCACCGGGGCTCCCGACAGCCCCCGGGGCGCTGCCCCCGACGGCCAGCTCCCGGCCACGCCCGGCTCGGCCCCCGCTCGGCGGCGCGCCCCAAGGGTTAGGCCGGGCCTGTCCCCCATGCAGGGGGCTTTTGGGGCGAGAAGTTCAAAAATACAAGAAAAAGTACCCCAAAATGGTAAAAAACATAATCCAAACTCGTCCCCCGACTATTTTCTTAACTATTTTGAACATCCCTCCTGTAGAGGGACAGGCCCGACTTCACCCAGGGGGGGGGGGCGTGAAGGCGGGAAGGTGGGGCGGGCCTCCCCGGGAGGCTCCAAAGGAGGCAGGAGCCTCCCGAGGCCTGCTGCCGACGAAAGCGCAGCACACGCCGATACCCATACCCATGCAGTCAAGACGTGTGCTACGGACGGGTGGCAAAAGGCGGAGACGGGGTGCGGGACTCCCCAGGAGGCTCCAAAGAAGGCAGGAGCCTCCTGGGGCATGCCGACGAGAGCGCAGCACACACCCACACCCATGCCCATGCAGTCAAGACGTGTGCTAAGGACGGGTGGCGAGAACGCAAGACCCTTGGAGGTCGAAGTTGTGATCGTTTTGGCGGCGGGCGACCA